AGCGTGTTGCCACTTCCTCTACCCTATCGTCCTCAACCCCTGGTGTGAGTCGCCCTCTGCGCTGGTGTCAAGCTCGTCGCTGACTTTCCTCCACAGTGCTTCTGTTCCAGTTCTAAGCTGTCACAGCGGTCCATACTCTTCCCCCCGTCCTGTCAGGCGCCTCTACGTATCTTCTCACGTCCATCCTATATTATCTCCTCTCGGAGACTACATATACAACTTATATATCCGGTTTTTACGGTCTCAGCATAATGCATTCACTACTATAGATGCTCTAGTGGCGGGTTCAGTAGTATCCTCCTCGCGGTCCACCCCGCCGTGACATTTCGAACCCTTCCGCGGAAGAAGCCATGGGGCCCATCCTTCCATAAGCTCCACCCGCGTCCCTATCCAGGTCATCGAGCTCGTACCCTCCCATGGCTTCCGCTCTCCTCCGTCTCTCGGCGTCTCTCGCTCGGATTTTGGCCGGGGTGGGCAGTGAGAATGCTTCGGCCAGGTCGGCTTTGCGTATCTGAACTCCAAGGCATGTGGATAGAAAGCAGTAAATGATCGAGCATAGGCTACGTAGCGAGTCAACAGCGTGATCTGTATACTTTGGATCATCTAGCTCACAAGAACAGGCCAAAGATGACGATGAAGAGGAAGAGCCCCTCGTCCATTGTGTGATTGCTTCCCAAGTTAGTGATTATGAATGTTGCCGTTGGGTTGTTGCTTGCCTATGTATCGGGGCCTTTCGACGGTGCAGCTGTGACTATGCACTGTTGACACCCAGCCGTACTACAGACATGAACGATGTACATTGCGAGTATGCATGCTGTCTGTCGCTGAACGGTCCCATCTCGGGTATCGAGTGATCTGCCACGTGGCGCGGGTGGAAAGATTGATTTTGGATATTTTTAGAGCGTTGTGCAGCTCGTCCGCCGTACATCATTCATCCGTCGTCTGTTCAGTCCATCACAGCCTCACAGCATACCAGACTTTGTAAGATCTGGTGGTCAGTGATCCTGCACAATCCCGGCCTACACTTCGATATGGTCTCGTCAGATCACCACCACCGTTCGACGCTGAAGCAGGTTCGTTCACTCACCACATACGATGAACAGCTGCTGACGAGATCGTCTCACAGTCAAACAAGGGTTTCAAGTCGAAGCACTCTTCAAAGGGGGCACTGAAGGCGGCTGCCAAGGGTGAGTGGTCTGTTTCGGGCGCCGTATCAAGCTGACCCCCCCTCAGGTAAGGTCGGTGGATCCACTCAGTCCGGCAAGAACACCAAGAACCTCACGGCTAGTTCAAAAAAGGCAAGGCTCAATGCCAATGCGCAGAAGCGAGACCTCAAGAAGAAGAGCGTGATCGAGGATCAAAAGTTCTTCTCCACAAGCAGTGGTGGTGGTATGTCTACTCGTATTGACCAGCTCGCGTCATCCGCTGACAGCCGGCCAGGCCAGGTACCCCGGATCGTATCCGTCGTACCGCTGCTTCCATCGCTCGATACTAAGGCTTTCGTCGCCAAGCTATTGCCTTCGCTTGGTCTGCCTGAATCAGAGCTGGATGAGATCACCTCTATCCTGGTCGAGCGTGGATCATACCTGGTTCGAGCGCCCCGCTTCAAGACTAATCTTCAGATCAACCTCCTACCGCCACTCTCGCTGTACCCCACCCTCGACGCTGCCCTGATCAGCGATTACACGGTACTTTTGCTCAGTAGTACGGACGAAGTACAGGTCGAGGGGGAAGCCATCCTGCGTTGCCTGCAAGGTCAGGTCGGAGGGTCTGAGATCATCTCCTGTGTCCAAGTGAGTATGGTTGAACAGCACGAGTCTAGGATGCTTACTTTTCGTAGGCGCCGGCATCCAACCCAATCAAGCCTGACACCCGTCAACTGATCCACAAATCGCTGCTTTCCTTCACCAAATACTTCTTCCCGGCAGTGGAGAAGATCTACTCGTCCGACACTCCCAATGAATCGGCTCTGCTAGCTCGCGCCTTGTGCGAGGCAGCACCCGGTGGAACCAGAAGTGATGAGGGGAGGGCATACATACTGGCCGAGGGGTCTGACGCCGTCAGATGGACCTCGACCGGGTCGCAGGGAGAGGACGGCGAGGAGAGAGGGCGGCTGGAAATCGTTGGTTCCGTTCGTGGGGGTGCCCTGAGTGCGGACAGACTGGTGCATATCCCTGGAAAAGGTGATTTCCAGGTCGAGACGGTGAGTTTACTTGTCGTGCGCATCTTTCAGCATTGCTGACCTGGCTACAGGTCCTGCCGGCTCCACCATCATCGCTCGCTCTAGCTGGCAAGCCCCACAAACAAGCGTCCATGTCGATCGACGCGTCTTCGGAACCTTTGTCGGTCCCTACCGAGAACGCCGATGACCTTATTGCCACCAACACACCTGACCTCCTGGCGAACGAGCAGACCTGGCCTACGGAAGAGGAGATGGGTGCAGGCAAGGCTCCTGTTGCTGGCAGCTCGACGGGCGAGATCAAAAGGACTAAGCGGGTACCGAAGGGAACCAGTGCCTACCAGGCTGCATGGATCTTTGACGATGAGGACGATGACGATGACGAGGAAGACGATGATGACGAGGACGGCATGGATGTGTCTGGCGACGAGGGTGGAGTAGAGGAAGGCTTCGGACGATCGTACAACGATGAGGAGGAGGAGGAGACTGAGGAGATCGAGCTGGACTCAAGACGGGACGAGGTACACGATGACATGGATCCGGAGCAGGAGGAGCGAGAGTGAGTCTTTCAAGCGGGAGTAGCATTTAGCGCTAATCCCTTACAGGTACGAGGCGTACTTGCGGGAACGAGAGAAGGCGCAGAGGGAGGATATGATTTTCCCTGATGAGATCGACACGCCTCGTCATGTCGCTGCTCGAACACGATTCCAGCGATATCGAGGGTTGAAGAGCTTCAGAACGAGTCCCTGGGACCCCTATGAGAACCTGCCCATTGATTACGCTAGGATCTTCCAGTTTGAAAACTTTGGCGCAACGAGAAAGAGGATCGAGCGGGAGGGTGTGGAAGAGGGTGTCAAGGTGGGTGTCTGCAGCACAGCAGTCTGGCTGTCAACTGACGCGAGCACAGGCTGGAACCCGAGTGCTGCTCGTCCTGCGCGAGGTGCCCCGGTCAGTCTTTGACGGACGCGACCGATTGTCACCGTTCATAGCACACGGTCTGTTGCAGCACGAACACAAGCAGTCCGTGTTGCACTTTGTGGTACAGAGGAACACCGAGTACACGGAACCGGTCAAGGCGAAGGTGTGTAGACTAGACTCGGTGCTGTGCACTGCTGATGCCGTCGTAGGACCCTCTCGTCCTTTGCGTGGGTCCCCGTCGATACACTATCCGACCCTTGTTCTCGCAACACGTCCGAGGTGGAGGCCGGGGCGTCAACAATGTACACAAGTCGGAGAAGTACCTCCGACCCGGAGCTGCTACCGTCGCAACCACCTATGGCCCTATATGCTTTGGCAAGACCGCGTGCATCCTGCTCAAGGACGAGGGAGCTGAGCAGGGTAAGTCTGGCTGTTCGTCCGTCCGATTCACCTCTGACTCCGTTATAGTGCCCAGCCTGGTGGCGATGGGTTCCTTCATGTCTCCGGACCCCACACGGATCATCAGCAAGAGGATCATCCTTACGGGACATCCGTTCAAGATCCACAAGAAGACCGCCACGATCCGGTACATGTTCTTCAACCGAGAAGACATCGACTACTTCAAGTCTGTCGAGCTGCACACGAAATTCGGCAAGGTTGGGCATATCAAGGAAGCCCTGGGTACACACGGGTACTTCAAGGCACACTTTGATGGTCCGATCCAGCAAATGGATACGGTCTGCATGAGCCTGTACAAGAGGCAGTATCCCAAGGTGAGCCCGTGTGCTGCTGGTCGAGTTCCAGCTGACATCGCTGTAGTGGTCGGAGGAGTTCAAGCCCCCTCCCGTTGTGGCTATCGGTTCCAAGCAGGACGCGGAGGAGATGGACGTGGAGTAGAGGCCTTTCGTGTACTGCTTTGAGGTTTTTCTGTACCATCTGATGTCATGATAGATCTTGATATTAACGTGCGCGTTCAAAGGGACGATGCGTTTCTGCGCCTTTGGGCCGCGATGTCGAGATTTTCACGACCTCCCGCGATGTTGCTTCGAACCATACCACCGTGTATTGGCGGATATGACAGCCTGCGAGGCTGATACCACCGGTTCGCGCATTCTGCATCTCCGAGCCCCGTTGGTCTCGGCTGTGCGCGGATGACAACCAAGACCAGGCATCTGCAGCTCCCTCCCGTGGCCTTCATCACGTTCTCTACGTGGCCTTCATCACGTTCTCTAGTTCTTACCGAAGTGCACCAAAAATTCGCCGGGACGCTCTCAACGTGATCTCGACGAAGGGCTTCTGCACAGAAGCTTTGGTGTCTTATACGTTTTACCCACCCCCCATCTCAGCAGCGCCTCGCCTCTTGTGCAGCAAGACTCCGCATGCCGGCCTCGGGACGTCATACATCAAGGCCACCTGAGAGACTGAACTCCTCTGCCGCCTTGCAACATCACGGCAGATGACTCCGCACCGTGAACTGCACACAAGTGTGTCGATAAAGCAGCCTGCGTGCCAGTAGTATTAGCAGTACGGCTCGTGGCCCAGCAGCACTCCTCCCCAGTGATGGTAATGTAATGCAGCCAGACCCCGCCTCCGTGCCGTCATGGTTCATTCTCCACTATAAAGGCTGATATTCAAGCTCGAGCCCCATTGGTACCACCCCCGGGATCCTTCGCAACCGTTAAATTTCCGCCGAACTCACTTCGCCACTAGTCAGAGGCAACCCCCGCCTCATCGTCCAACCGTATGGCACTTTACATGAACCACCCTGGATCGCCCTCCTCTTGTCGCAAAGGGCTGCAAATCGACTGGTCGGCTTCAGATGGCTGCAGCATGCATGCAATGTTCAGACAGAGGGCATACAGACCTCGGATCGAAAAGCAAAAAGATGCTCGAACGAGCACTATTCCCTTGCCGAGGTTCGAACTCGGGTCTGGCGCGTGATCGTTCACAAGTGAAAAGCGCACATACTAACCACTGTACTACAAAGGATGACGTAGCAAGACAGCCCAAAATGACGGATATGACCTACAAATCAGAAGCCCCGTTGGGATCTGTGCTCCGGTCTACAGGTAGGGTCTCTCGACTACACAAGGCTTCTTTTCGGCGAGTAGCCGATCCTCCATCCTGCATGAACCCAGTAGAACGGGCAACGGGACTTGCTGGGTCGCGCGCTGCTGAGTTGAGTGGCTCATATACTGTCCACTATACATTGAAGTCCTTACGAAAGGTTTCTTCGCACAACTGCCTCGTCCAAGGATATCGCTGATGGTGATATCGCTAGTATCGACAACGTCCCGTTCTGCTTCTAGAGCTGCACAGGCTCAGGGGCCAAGGCGCTACGAACAACGAGAGCGTCACTGCCCTCGCATCGCGATCAGAGCCGCCCTATTCGCGCTCACAAGGTTTTGTTGTTACACCAGCTCACTCAATGCTCGCTCGTGGAGCGGCATTGCATCAATCCAAGCTTTACTCCCAATCTTGTCAACTGCCATTGGGCCGCAAAGCAGCGTCGCCATAACAGCGCTTAGCCGTGTCGTGTCGTATCTACGCGCCGCCAAACTCGTTAGATGGCGGGGTGAATAAGTGAAACCGGTTGACCCGGTTCTCGCTAGAGCCGGCCGAGGGGGATTCACTCGCTCGCGCTCTGCTCTGATCGCCATCTCGCATTCTGGTTATACCGATCGCTAACGTTCTCGAGCTTGTACATATCTGACCATACACACCAACATGCTAGTTCGCGCGGCCATCCGAACTTGTCGACTCTCGTCCCGCGCTATTGCGCAGCGCAGACTCGCCTCGACATTGGTCTTCCTCGAGCACAAGGCTGGTAAACTGAACGACTCGAGCTTGAACGCTGTGACGGCCGCCAAGGCTTTGGGCCAAGACGTGAGTATACCGCATCGTAAATGGGTGACGACCTGACACAATCGGTAGACCGCCGGTATCGTGGTCGGATCCAAGGGAGACGTCGACAGCGTCCTGGAGGAGGCAAAGAAGTGAGTAATCAGGATCGGGCGGAGCTCGGAAGCTGATCCGACGCCAGGATCGATGGCCTTTCGAAGATCTACACTGCTGCCTCCGACGCCTATGCACACAGCCTGGCGGAGAGTGAGTCCCGGTAAGGTCTCCCTGCGGCGCATTCACTAAATCGTTCGCGAAATAGACGTCGCTCCCTTGCTCGCGTCCGTACTTCCCGCCAAGGACGTCTCGCACATCTTTGCTGCTCACACTGCCGTTGGCAAGAATGTCTTCCCCCGACTGGCCGGTATCGTCGATTCGTCCATGGTGAGTGCTTCTGGAGCCGTGTCATACTCGTTCTGAACTGTGCCAGATCGCCGATATCGTCGCGCTCGAGGCATCAGGTGACACCTTCACCCGACCGATCTACGCCGGCAACGCCATCCTCAAGATCAAGTCGTCTCCCAAGGACAAGTACAAGATCGTCACGGTGCGAACGACCGCGTTCGACAAGGCATCGGTAGGCAGCGGTTCGGCCACGGTCGAGGAGGTCGAAGCAACCTCGGGTGATGGTGGGTGTCTCCGTTCTCGGCTCGGGCATACAGCTAACCCGGTGGTACACAGCACCCACAAAGTACATCTCGGAGGAGCTGACTGTGTCCTCCCGACCTGACCTGTCATCTGCCCCTCGAGTGGTGTCTGGCGGACGAGCACTCAAATCCCTGGAAAACTTCAACAGCGTCCTTGACCCCCTCGCTGACGCGCTCGGTGCCGGTGAGCCTCGCGAGCCATGTTGTCACACGCAGTGCTGACGCATCGCAGCTGTCGGCGCTTCCCGAGCTGCGGTCGACGCAGGATACGCCGACAACTCTCTTCAGGTCGGACAGACCGGGAAGGTGAGTACACTGGTCGGAATTAAAAGAGTACAGTTCCCCTGACCCCACACGCATTAGGTTGTCGCGCCGGAACTTTACGTCGCTGTCGGAATCTCTGGCGCTATCCAGCATCTCGCCGGTATGAAAGAGTCCAAGATGATCGTAGCCATCAACAAGGACCCCGACGCACCCATTTTCCAGGTGGCCGACGTCGGTCTCGTCGCCGACCTGTTTGACGCTGTCCCAGACCTCGCCAAGAAGGTCGAGTCTGCCAAGGCATAAACAGGGGACCAGCCGGGTGTACGAGTAGCATTGTAGTTTGAATATAGGGCAAGCGGTATGCATGGATCACCAGTACCCTTGTCCGTAGAGGCCCGTCAACTGGCCATGAATCCGCGCGGACCCTGACCAGCAGCAGCCATGGCCATGCCCATTTTCCTTTGCGCGTCGGCAACGCTGATGGTGCTCGCTCGGCGAGCGTCGAGGTTCTTTGGAATAGCGATGAACGGATGGTCCAGCAGCTGTGCAGCTGTCGGCCTGGCGTCGTGGTCGATCTCAAACGTTTGCTGGAGAAAGTCTGCGGCTTCCGGCGAAATGTCTGCCGGCATGACTGGCGTCGGCGCTTGCGAGCCGATCTACCCTCATGTCAGCTTCATGATCCAGCACGGTATAGCCCATCACGAAGCCGGCTCACTCTGAATATCGCCTGCATCTGGGTCAGATCCGCCCACGGGTGTGTGCCGGTCAGCATCTCGACCACGAGACACCCCACGCTCCAGATATCCGCCTTGGAAGTGTACGACGTCTGCTTGACGATTTCCGGTGCCATCCAGAACACCGAGCCCTGGAGCGAGGGCCGATTCGCCTTCAGACCGGTAATGAGGTCTAGCCAGGTGGAATCAGCTACGGTACCTCATACCTCCACCTTGCGAATATGACACCCACTGCTCTCGACTTTCTTACTGATGCCAAAGTCGGAAATCTTGATTCCCCCCTTATTGTCGACGAGGATATTGGCCCCTTTGATATCACGGTGGATGATCTCGCGTTCATGCAGATAGTTTAAGCCGGTCAGGATCTGTCGGACAAAGTTCTTAACGAGAGCTTCTTCGAAAGCACCATAGTTGCTCAACAGCGCAGCAACAGAACCACCGGGAACGTATTCGAGGAAAATATTCAGATTCTGACCGTCCGCCGAAGAGTCTGCGATGACGGTCAGTCGAGCACATTCAACCAAGCAGCACCCGACGCACCGAGGTACTGCACGATATTCTCATGCTGCAGCTCCTTCAACAGCTCAATCTCCCGCTCCAGCGCAGACACCATACTTCGCTTCCGCTCCTCGTTTCGTGCAGACCCCGTCGGCAGTTCGACCTGCTTGACCGCCATGAGCAGGCCAGAGTGCGCGTCCATGCCAAGGAAGACCGAGCCAAAGGATCCCGCACCGATGAGCGCGCCCTTGATCCACTTGATGATCCGTTTGGCTGGGCGGGAATCAGTAAAAGTGGATCCCAACAGAGCCGACTCACATCCAGTAGACGTAAACGCCTTGCCATGCTCGTGATCATCTTCATCCTCCTCGGTCTCAGAGTCCATATCGCTGCCCTCATCGCTCTCCTCCTCAGTGCTTTGATCCTCACTCTCATCCTCCGTGCTCTCCTCATCACTGGCCATCTCGTCTTCAGGCACGCCCGCGTCCACGGGCGGTGGAACAGGCAGCATGACCTCCTTGTCATTCTCATCATCACTTTCTTCGAACGTGATAGTGCTCGCCCGTCGGTTTTCTACCTCGGCAGTGATCTCGTCCACGGTGAGCAGCGAAGCTGTGTCTGAGCGATCCCGATTGCGCCTGAGCTGAGACAACATGGACACTCGGGATTTGGTAGAATCGGCCGAGTTGCGCCGACCGAGCGCAAGCGACCTGGGTCGACCGTGCATCTTGGGCGTAGGTGAATAGGCCTGGAGGGCATCGGCGATCGATTCGTTGGACGGCTGGAAGGGTGGCAAAAGCGGGGGCTGGCTCTGCGCCGATGCAGCGGATTCCGCGTCAGAGTCCCCATCGATAGTCGGCCTCCTGTGTCGCCCATCATCGTGCGACACCGACAGACGAGGGGGACCGTCGTGATCCAGCATCTCCATCTCTTCGGGGATCGTTCCTTCCTGTGGCGGTGAGGCTATAGTGTTGGTCCGACTGATGGGTCGCGGTCGTCGAGGAGGCGATGCGGCGGCGGATTCTCCCGCTCGTATGCTCATGCGCTTCATCGACGCAGCAAAAGACGAGTCAAAGCTGGATCTCGTCGATTCGCTCGGCGCCACACTCCCTCGCTTGAGGCCCGTGCTCATACGCAACATGCTATGTCGAGCCTTCTCGACGTCACGCCTCTTGGCGGAAGGAAAGTACTCGGCCAGATGGTTCGAGATCAGCTCGCTGGGAGGTCGATGACCGAAAAAGTTGTAGACGGATTTCTTCTTGGTGCTCAGGAAGCTCGCCGACGAAGGGCTCCTGGAGGTGCTCGGGGATGGAGGCGGTTCGACCATGGGCACGCCCAAACCGGACATGACGCTGACAGTGCTAGCTCTGTGCATGTTCTTGTTGGAAGCCGCGCTGGGCTTGGTCGGGGTGAGCAGGTTAACACGCTCGCCGAACCGGGGTCCAGAGAACGGCGTGGGTGACGTCGGTGAGAGAGGTTGCGGGGGCGCTTCGCCTAGATAGTCTTTCATGTTCTTTCGGTTTTGCAGCTTGCGCGTACGGCGAAGCGTGAGCCCCTTGTCGCGCATGGCTGTCCCATCTCGGTGAGAGAGGCAGATGCCTAGCAGACTCGCTTCGGACAGTGGTTTGGCTGTACATGGTCAGTCCCGTCTTATGAGAGCGTGAAGGTCGACTCACCATCGACATCTGGATCGCTTTCCGCGTACACACCCCAGCCATCCACTTGAAGCCTCTCGCCATCTTCGTCGCTCTCCGTATCGGTATTGACGTGAACACCCGTACCCCACTTGCCAAACTTCTTGAGCGCTCGCTCCAGGACCTCGACTCCACTCGTCACATGCATGACATTGACCGTACGCATGGTACCGTCTTCTGCATTAACAAACTTGACCAGTTGACGGCGAAGATCATCCAATGAGGGAGCACCTTTACCCGTGGTGGAGGAA